AATTTGAGGCATGCCTATCTCAATTCTTAACTGGCCATTTGGAGTTCCTTTGGGTGCAGCTAGGATGGCTCGCAGGAATTTGGTTTGTATAGTTTCTAGCAAGTCTTTATTTGCAAGGATTCCTGTTTGTGCCGCATATAGAATTTGTGCCAATGTTTTGGCCTCAAAAAGTTTTAAGGTGCTAACTGCCCTCCGCCTGTGTAAAAGAGATGATATCGTGTCGTTCCCCCCCCCTCTGTTGAGAGAAGGCTGTTCAGTTTTGACATAGATGACTTCTTTGAACCCTCTTTCAATAAATCCTTCCATTCTCCATCATCCAGTCAGAGTTGAAGAAGCTTCTTGGATGAGAAGTAAAACATTTTCCTTTGGGACATCTGCTTCTGTATTTAAAAAAAAATGAGGCATTATGTAAATTTGCATGATGAAATCCACTACTTGAAAAAATTAACTGACTCTAGTTTATATGGGAAAAATCTATCTTTTTTTCCACAATAGTTTGTACTATTTTACATCTTAACAAAAAAAATAGTTCAGTCACAGATTTTTTGACCAGTTTGCCATAGATCATTTTCTAATTGGATCATTTTTATTTTATCTTGCCAGAAAGTTGCTCCCATATACACATACACTCCTCTGAATCAGCTTAAAAATGAAAGTGTGGTCAACCTGTATGGGGCTGTGAAATTCTTCAAGCCTCCATATTTAAGCAAAGGAACTGGTATGTATGATTGAATGTACACCTTATCATTATAATATGTTAGAGCAAGTGCCTTTTTTTAAGCAAATGTGTGTCCAAGTAGATTGTGGACTAGTGGCCAATTTCAGATAAACTGCCATAGCTGATCAAGTAAACATTCAGTCATATCAGTCCATTCTGGAGAAAGTTGTGGAAAAGGCGCTCAAATGATAGCATCAAGAGGATCAAATGGATTATCTGGATCCATATAAATCTGGTTTTAGGCCAGGGTTCAGTGCAGAGGCAGTATTGGTCACATGCTCATGATGTTTGGCAGAGCATGGTATATCCATCCTAGTGCCCCTTGTTCTCTCAATGACTTTCAACACTGTTGACCATAATATCCTTCTGGACCAGCTGTGGGAAAAGGACTAGGGGGCACTGTGCGGCAGTGGTTCCTCAGGAGTCAGTTCCAGTTGATGATGACAGATGGAAAGAGATTGATTCATGGCTCCTTGTGTGTTGGGTGCTTCTGGGCTTGATGATCTTCACTCTGGTAGATTTGCCATTACTTTGGGGTGCAGTATTATTTGGATGCCGATATAGTCAGCTCTACATCGTCATACCAAGCTGTGTAGGTGAAGTTATCGTTGTATTGACCAGTGTCTGGAGGTTTTTCAGGTCTGGATAGAGTAGAACAAACTGCTCAATGTTAACAAGCCTGTGTGCTTGTTTGGACTCCCAGTACCTACAACTGATTTAATATGCAGTAATGGGCAGCTCTCAATGTGCCCATGTGCTACCACTGCTACACAAGCTGCATTGAATGCCAGTGGCTTCCAAATGCAATTCAGGTGGTTGACGATTGCCTATAAGCCCTGTATGGCAGAGGGGATTACATACCTGAAATAATGCTTGTTTCCAATTGTATTCAATGCATTCTGGTGGAAAGGGTATGCTCTAGGTCCCCTCCATTAGATGTTGCCATCTTGTGGGACTAAAAAGTGTGTGCCTTCTCTGTTGGCGGGCCCTTACCTTGGGCCAGTGCCCCCCCCCCCCCCAAGATCAGGACAAGAGTCTCTCTCCCATGACTCTAGAAAGCTTTGAAAATCTGGTTTTAGTCCAAGGCCTGGGTTGATGTTATTTGTTGAATGACTCCTGTTTTGCTTGATTATTAGAGCATTTTAGTTTGGCTGCCTATGATTTAATATCTTTAGCTAATTTTACATCTTTTTTAGTTTTGTGCCCTGCTCAGTGTTCAATAATTTTGGTGGTTATTAAATTTAAATAAATAAATGAAATAAATTGTGATCTTGCAGAATTAAATTTAAAGAAGGGGGAAGTAGGCATGTTCATAGCAGACAGTGGTCCAGAATAAAACCTGAATGTGTCCAAACCTCTTTCACCATATTTTTCTTAAGTTCCATTAATTTATTTTTCTTAAGAGGATTTCTCTAATTTTATCCGATTTTAAAATTACTGAATTTATTTTTTATCTTACGTCAAAATTGCCAGTTTGCAGCTTTTCTTTCTTTCTTTCTTTCTTTCTTTCTTTCTTTCTTTCTTTCTTTCTTTCTTTCTTTCT